CTTTGTTTTAACGGGAGCCCACGTTCGCTCGTGTGTGGCAAGAAGGAAAAGTTTCGGGGTGTAGTTTAGAAGTTCACTATCAACGTGGGCGTCGGCCGGGCCGCCTGACGCCAGCGGTCCGTGGGAGCGGGCTCTGCTGTGGGTCCGGGGCGGCGGGCGGGCCGGCCGCGGGATTTGGAGCGGGGTGGTGCGGAGCGAAGCCGGCCTGACAGACGTGGGCGGTGGTGGAACTCACAGGGTTAATCCACTTCCCGGCCTCGGGGAGGAGGAGATGGGGCTCCCGCTCTGGGGCGACGCGTTTCTCAAAAGCGGGAGGGCAGGGGTAGCGCTTGACCAGATGAATGTGTTTTCTTCTCCCTACCCCGGCCGGGCGCTGCAAACCGCGCGTGTGTCTGCGGGGAGCGTTTTTTGGCAACTTGGTTCTCTCTGCATAATGAAAAGAGGAGTCTTTGTTCCACCCAGATTCATCGGTTGTGGTCCACACATTTACATATTTTCCTCCTTTTTTTTTTGTTTGTAGTGATTCAAAAGTTAATGCTACGGAAATTAACACGTAGGTTTTAAAGATGCTATAATTTTTTCCAGGATAAATCCAAGTATTTAAAAATTTTTTTTTGTCTTTAGCCTTGGCATGTGTTACATTGGTATTTTACTAGAAAGGAGAAACGCCTGAGAGCCCATTTTCCTTTATATGGCACATTCTGGAGATCTCATTTAGGAAGGTGTGATGGGGGAGGGGAAAATTATTTCATTGGAAAGAAAAATTAATATACAACTGTGGAAAGGGCAAGTAAGCCATCATACTATATTTTTAGGTAAAAACCAAAAAAGTAGAACGTTTGAATTTGGATATTTATTTATTTGGTGCGGGGCTTTTAACCTGTGTTTATCTCCCACCTTTCCACTTCATAGTTTTTTTTCTTTTATGAAATCAGTATTATCAATGTACTGCAAGAGAATAGGGTTATTGTCCTATGTTCCTGGTTACATAATTGTGTTCAGTCTTTTTCTGTTTAAGTCGAGTTTGTCACTAATGTTCTGGACACCACGTGATATTCTTCATTCGTGCTGCAGTTTGAAAACACACTTCAAAATAAGAATGAAAAGATGTGCAGTTTCCCTTAGTAGATCAGTAAACTAGAAATCAGGTGAGATTCAATCTTTTCTTTGCTGCTGATTGCAGTCTTCAAAGAGCTGCTTTGCTATTGACTCTGATTTCTCATTCTATAGAAGAGGGGATAAGGATTGCTTTTTAGTCTGGGTGGACTATGAAGTTGAATAAAATAATGCATTTGAAAGCCCTTTGGAAAAAAATTTAAGGCATCTGTTGATGACTTTTGAATAACAGGGAACGTTGGCAAACAGTATTAAATATTTTTGCACAGTCTAATATTTCTAGGTCCAGGACGTTATTTCTTATAGTGGCCTTTAAGTGCTCATGGGAACTGTTCAGGTACATTTCCTCTCTTTGGCAGACATTCATTACTGTGATAATGTGGAGAAAAGGGTGTTTCCTTCTTATATGTGGGGCAGACTGGCTTTCTTAGAAATAAGGCTATAGGGGGTTGGGGGCTGGGGATTTAGCTCGGCGGCACAGCGCCTGCCTGGCAAGCGCGAGGTCGTGAGTTCCATTCGCGGTATCGGAACCCCCTCCCCGCCCCCGCCAAAAAAAGAAGGCTATGGCCAGTAACTGACATGAGTCATATTTGGTACTAAACAATTCTCAGTGTGGAATTTTTTTTTTTTTTAAATAAGATGTCACTTTGTAGCCCAGGCTGGCCTCAAGTTGACTATGTAGCCCAGGCTGACCTCCAACTTGGGGCAGTCCTCCAGCCTCAGCTTCCTGTGTGCTCGATCTTGGTTCTTTTTTTTTTGTCTTTTTGAGACAGGGTCTCACCATGCAGTTCAGCTGGCCTTGAGCTCACTTTGTAGCCCAGGCTGGTCTAGAACTTGCAACGATCGATACTCCTGCCCCAGTCTCCCGAGTGCTGGGATTACAGGCATGCACCACCACGCCCGGCAGTTCAGTATTATCTCAGTTCTAATTATTTTTATCCCTGTAAAAGTCTGAATGTTGTAAAGGGAAAGGCTCATGGATTTTAGTAAGATATACTTAGTCATGTTATTCTTGGCTCTGCAGTTACTTGCTGTCGAGGTAAATACCTAACATCTTTGAGTGTTAGTGTGCAATGAGAATTATAGTCTTAAGAATTACAAAGATAATTGTATGCAAGTATTTGGCAAAGGGCCTTACATATAGTAGATGTGCAGTAAATGATAGCACCTTTTCCCTTTTTGTTTCTGCATATTAGGATGTTAGTAATCCTTTAAAAGCTTACTACCTCTGTTTGTAATTCTTTAGGTCTTTTTTTTGTGGTAGTGGAGTTTAACCTAGGGCATGCATATTGAGCAACTGAGCTATATACCTGTCTCTTTTTTTCATTTTAAAATTTTGAGCGAGGGTCTCACTAAAGTTGCCTGGGCTGTGCTTGAACTTACTATCCTCCTGCCTCAGCCTCCCAGAGTGTTGAGATTAGAGGTGTGCATCATGGCCTTCTGGTAGTCTTTATGTTTTAAGTATGTTATTTTCATATATAATTCTTGAGTCTAGGTCTTCAACTCCAAATCCAGTGGTGGCCCACATTTGCAGACACGTCAGTTTTGAGACTGCTATATTAAACAGCCCAGTCATAATTTTAACTGATTTTTTTTTGTTTGAGTTTAGTACTATTAAAATGAAAATATTACAAATATCATACACATGTTTAAAACCTTTTTTGTCTTGTTCTCTGTAGTCCATTGAATCATGTAGCCTCATGTTAGAACACAGTAAATACTCAAAAATTTTAAATGGTTATTGACTTCAAGAAAATACTATAAGTAGGAGTCCCCACTTACAGTTTTTTATTTTTCAATTTTATTTTTAAAATTTTATTTTTTTCCCCTTCTAAACTTGTGATCTTCCTGCCTCAGCTTCCTTTGTAGCTGAGATTACAGGGATGTGTCACCATACCTGGGTCTGCAGTATAGCACAGCAGCTCTACCAGAGCATTTCATTAGAAGCCTTTTTTTTTTGAGATGGGGAGTGGGAATGAGGGGTGGTTTTGCTAAATTGCCCCAGGCTGGCCTCAAACTCAAGATCTTCCTGTCCTAGCCTTGTGAATAGCTAGAATTACAGGTACTGCTTACTAGTTCCTTTGATACATTGTCCTTAATCAAGGATATGAATTCTGAGAGGAAGAAATTACGTTTATGGAGCATCAGTCATACACTTGCCATTCTTCTGGGAGCTTTATCTCATTTTATCAGTCATCATTTGATTTTTGTAGAGTTAATACTGCATGAAAAAAGAGTAAAATTTTGTGCTGTTTATGGTCGACCCATTTAATTCCAATCATGTTTTTTTAGTGGCTAAGTACCATATTTTGTGATTCTTGTAGATTTGTTGAAGAAAAAAAAGAAAATCTTATAGAAGCAAGCTAAAAGTAGAGGGAATTTAATGTAGTTTAGAGATAGGGTCTCGCTCTGTATTTCCTGCTGGCCTTGAACTCTGTATGTAGCCCAGGTTGGCCTCGAATTTTCAGTGATCCTCCTGCCTTAGCCTCCAGAGTGCTGGGATTACAGGCATGTGCCACCATGTCCAGCTAAAATTAGAGTTTCAGTGTCCATTTTTGGCTTAAGTTTTAGTTTAACTTTTTTTTTGTCTTTTTGAGACAGGGTTTTACTTTGTGATTTAGGCTAGCCTGGAACTCATGGCAGTCCTTCTGCCTCAGCCTCTCAAGTGCTGGGATTACAGATGTGTGCCACCATGCCTAGCCTGGTTTAACATTTTTTATAATCATTTCATTTTAAAAAAAAATTTTTATTTTTGTCACCAGGAATAGAACTCAGGATCTTGTGCTTGCCAGGCAGGTGCTGTGCTGATGAGCTATATCCCCAGCCCCTGGCTTAACATTTTTTTAACATTATTTTGAAACTCTGGAAATAGAATTAGGTTAGTTTTCTTTCAAACCTTAAAAGGCTTTGAAAGTGAAATTCTAGGAAGTACAAAAACAAAATTTCACAAATACAATGATAGAAAATTTAAGTATGTTCATTGTAAAATGCCAATATTATAGGGAAGTATTAGTTTTACTGTACATAGTTGCTGACCATACTACACCACGTCCGGAGAATTGTGGGATTTTTAATTTTTTTTTTTTTTTTGTACTGGCAGTCAAACTCAGGATCTTGAGCTTGCCAGGCAGGTGCTGTGCTACTGAGCTATATCCCTGGCCTGGAATTGTGTTCTGTATTGGGTGCTTTAAGAGAGAGACTCACAAATATTCAGACGTTGATGACCAAGATGGTAGGGGATGTGGAAGCTGTGTTAGTGAAGAGTGGTTTTTGTAAGGATTTGTTGAACAATAAATGTAAGCTCCAAGAATAGTGCCTAATGTTTTTTGTGTTGTAAACATAGCAATTAATCTTGTTTTGGAGATCTGCTCTAGTTGGTACCTTTATATGGAATAGACTCTTTAATATCTATTTTCTCACTTTTACAGGTTTTTAAATTATAAAATTGTATTTGTATAGGAAATAAATGTGTAAGCATACAAGTAATACAGAAATACACATTGGTTATAAACCATTCAGGAATTACAAATGATAAAGAATAAAAAAACAGTCTCCCGTCAATCCCTTCTGCTTCCTAGAGTCCTTCTTCCCAGTCTCATTCATTTCTTCCGAGGCACCACATTGAACAGTGATGTTCACCCTTCCAGACTTTTCTTTGCCTATTTATGTAGATAAAGATATACACCCCCTTGCTTTTAATAGGCCTGTTCGTATTTAGTCAAATAGTTATTGATGTTATGGTCTCTTCATTTTAGGATGTGTAGCCTACATCATTGCATTAGTAGTCTATGGTATGAATTACCAGTTTAACAATTGTTATTTAACAGTTTTGCCATTGGTGAGAGTTCAGTTTATTCCTTCTTTTTCTTTTACAAGCAGATCTTCAAGGAACATCTTTATAGGTTTTGGTGGTTTGTTTTTCTCCCTTGTACTGGGGATTGAACCCCTGGCTTTTACATTCAGCCTTATCCCCAGCTCTGTTTTCAGTTTTTAATTTTGAGCAGGGTATCACTAAATGGTTTAGTTGTCCAGGCTGGTCTCTAATTTACCATTCTCCTGTCTCTACCTCCCAGAGTGTAGGGAATACAAGTACAGGTTTCCACACCTAGCTTTGTCTATGTATCTTTATATACATTTGCAAATATTTGCAGGCTGAGTTCCTAGAAGAATTGAAATTGATAACTCAGAGGCTATTTTTCATATGTAAAGATTTCATTTGATCAGCTCGTCTGGCCTGCTTTACAGTCTCAGCAACAGTGTGTGAAAGGGCATTTATCTTCATTCTTACCAACATTAGATGTTATTAATATGTATGTATGTATGTATTTTTTTTTTAAACTGGAGTTTCATTGTGTTGCCCAGGATGACTTGTAACTCTCTTTTGATGCACTCACCCAGGTAGCTGGGACTATGGGCACATGCCACCATGCCCAATTAACGTGTTTTTAATTTTTGCAAACTCGTAAGGCGTAAATGTTGCCTTGTTTTAGTAGTACAGTTGATCAGATATGTTTCAGATTTGGGGATTTTACAATATTTGCATAGATTTTGCTGGTTGACCGTCTCTAATCTGAAAACTCAATAGTGTATCCAAAATGCTCCAAAATTCAAAACTTAAATTGGAGCATTTTAGGTATTTGGATTACGGATGTTTAGTTTGTACTAGTGAGGTTGACTGTCTTGTAATTTATTGATTGAATGTGGTTCTGTAAATTGTTTGGGTTTTTTGTTTTTTGTTTTCCAGTCTTGGGGATTGACCCTAGGACCTCCAAGTGTGCTACTACCATTGATCCATCCCCAACCGTTTACATTTTTTTTTTTTAAATTTTGAGATAGGACCTTACTAAATCACTAAATTATCCAGACTGGATTTGAATTTATGATCCCCCTGTCTCAGTGCTGGGATTGCTGGTGTGAACCATCATTCCCAGCTCACTTATTTCACTTTTCAGCTGGAATTTTTGTGCCTGCCTGGCAAGCACAAGGTCCTGGGTTAGATTCTCGGTACCAAAAAAAAAAAAAAAGTCTATCA